CTTATAAATCATCTCTAGGACGGTAGGGAGGGGGCCCAGAGTCTTATTGGTTGTAACAAATCGGGGAGACACCGCCATCCTATGGTTGACTGGTAACAACTTCAGGAAGGCTGAGAGTGTCCTCCATCGGTGCTCTGTCATCCATCCGCTTTTATCAAGTTTTCCAGTTCAATTACCTAGAAGATAACTAGACAGTTGCTTAATAATCAGTCATTGCATCTGGGATCGCAGGGGTGCAATTCTCCAGCTGCATCAAGAAGTCTAGCAGAGGCATGTTGGAAACTATAGGCTTTTTTGCCACAGTCACAGATTTAGCCAATGACCCAATCACCTTAAAAATCTAAGGGCTTTTTGCATCTACCTCCCTGTGGATCCTGAAACATTAGATTTAAAACCAAATAGTTGTAAGCTGCCATGTGGTCGCTGGGGAATTGAACTCACGACCCTTGGAAGAGCAGGCAGCATTCTTAACCCCTAAGCTATCTCTTCAGTTCCTTATTCAGATGGAAAATCTCTCAGGCTAGTAGCCGGCATTGTTTGCCCCGCCCGTTGCCCCAGGCTATTGGTCCACCTTTGTTACCTAGGATCAGCACAGCTCAGCTCAGCCAAGCGGAACAGAAGCCACTCCAGCCTCAGAGCCCCTCACAGTTTTAGGCACATTGCAAGCCTTCTGGCCTGGCAGCTTGTGGCACCTCTCTCATTCTCAGTACTGCTGGGATACCCTCCAGGCCAGGCACCAACTGAGCCAGCGCGACGTGCCCCCCACCATAGCCACTCAGCAATGCTCCGCTCCAGCCACCCTCCAGCCGCAGTTGCATTCATTCCGAATCCAAACTCGGTGCACGGAGTAAAGCAGAACTCAGAAGCAGGCTTGCTGCTCTGAAACCACTGTAAGGACCTCATTTAAACAATCTTTTAGGGAATATGGGTGTCGTTAGTCTCTCTCTGACTACTTCCTGCTGAATTGGGCCGTTGCATTTTGGGGGTATACACTACAACATTTCAGGAGGTCTCGGTGATTCAAACCACACAAATCTCAAGTACACCCCCAGGCTCTCACCTTCCGTGGAGATGAAAACAGAACCTCCCCTCCAAAACATCACATCCTTAGGCAAATTCAAATATCTTTCTCCCGTCCGGCACACAAAAGACAACACAAACAACACAACACAAAGCTTTTGACCTTGTAGGTCAGTCTCCCCCATTCTTAGAACCACTGGGGGGTCCTTTTTTCTTATTTCCTTTTCTTACAGGCGCGCCTAACCTCTCACTGCACTCAGTTTCTGATATGCTATCCTGGACTTCCTCCAATACATTTTGTCCATCTGCAACAACAGCCTGGCAGGATTTATCTTCTAAGCAATTTCAAAGTGATAAGAGAACTGCTAAGAAGTACCAAGGCCTCTACAAAATCTTTCCAAGGTGGAGACAAGTCAAGCCCAAAATCAAAAAGTCCAGGAATAGTCACACCTCTCTGAGCAAACAACCTGCAGTTCTGAATCCTCCTTGTGTCCAAGGGGTCTCCGGTGGTGCGAGCAGTTGTCAGGGTCCCCCGGCGTCCCGGGGTTTCGAGCACCAGTTGTCCCGCGCTACCGTCTCGCCCGCAAGAACGACGCGGGACACTTAGGATTCTTCTACAGTAAAGCTTTATGTCTCTTGAGAGGGAGAGCATAAGCTTACATGGCGGAGACCCAGATAAGATGGAACCCATCCCTTATATAGGAAACAGACCCTGCTTTGGACGTGTCACTCTTCGATTGGTCAACTGCTCCCAGTCCCAGGTGATACCTTGGGAGTAGTGGAAAAATACCAACACGTGTGAGCTTTCTAGCTCACCTGGCGGTGCAGCGCCATCTATGGTGGAGAGTGTGGTTGCGGCCTTCTACAGATATGTAGGTAAATAGATACACAGGTAGATTCAGAACATGAATACTAAAATGAGACTATAAAATTATAGCAAACACTTTGAAAACTTAGACAAAATGAACAAATTTCTTCAAAATAGTAGCTACTGAACTTCGAATCAGTTTGTTATACGTCTACTTTAAAGATAGAGTTAGTGATTGCAGCTATTCCCATAAAGGATATAGATCACAACAGTTCAAAAATAACAGACCTTTAATAATTCTGAATGAATAGTGTCAAAATATAACAAGTGAGAAATATTTCTCTTTTTAAAGCAATATATATATGCTATGATATATATGCCCTTGATCCTAAGCCAGATGGTAAGAATGAAAAGTCAGAGGCACTCACTAGTAAAAATGCAGATATCTTTGATGAAACATCACTTCATTCTATAAAGGAACAACAATTCATATTGTTGTTATGAAATTATACAAATGATGTGCAGAACAATACAGAAAATACATTAATTCAAAACTTTACTCTTTGTAGACTACTAATAAATGGACATTTCTCTAATGTTTGAAATGAAGTCTACCCACATACCATTTGTAGTGGGGAAATACTAACAAAATTGTGTGTGTGTATATTTCAGTTATTGTTTTTTAAAGATTACTAATTTTTGCAAGCGTTGAGTGTTCTACTGCATGTGTGTATGTGACCAGGTGTGTTTCTGTTACCCGAGAGGGCCAGAAGAGGGCGTTGTGTCCCATGGAATTGGGTGTACGAATGCTTTGGAGGTGCTCTGTGGGCAGCTGCTGGCTACCTCGTGGACGCTGCAGGCTGAACCTGGGTTTTCTGCTAGAGCAGCATGGACTCTCACCACCCAGCCATCTTTTTAGTCCCCAGAAACTGTTTAAAGTCAATATTTAAGGAACAGGGGGGTGATTTCGTGGGTAATTAAAGTTCTTCTTGCTTAAACATCAAGTGTTACTTTTTCCCTTTTTAAATGTATTGTTGTTGTTGTTGCAATGTAGAGGAGAAAAACATTTATTTTATTATTTTATACTTTGTGTAAGGGTCCATTATTAAGGGAAGTCAGGGCAGGCACTCAAGTGGGAAGGAACCTGGAGGCAGGAACGTATGCAGATTCCATGGAAGATTACTGCTTACTGGCTTGTTCCTGCTCAGCCTGCTTTATAAAGTTCCCTGGACCACTGGCTCAGGGATGGCACCACCCACAATCACTATTTCCTTTTCTCTTTATTTATCTCAGGGTCCATCGCATTTCTCAGGGTTCTAGCTTTATACACCCCGTTCTGCCTGGCTTGTTGGAAATATGTCAGGTGATTCTCATATAGATGTCTATGCTAGACAGGGTGTGTGTGTGTGTGTGTGTGTGTGTGTGTGTGTGTGTGTGGTGTGTGTGTGTGTGTGTGTGTGGTGGTGTGTGTGTGTGTGTGTGTGTGTGTGGTGGTGTGTGTGTGTGTGTGTGTGTGTGTGGTGGGGTGTGTGTGTGTGTGTGTGTGTGTGGTGGTGTGTGTGTGTGTGTGTGTGTGTGTGTGTGTGTGTGGTGTGTGGTGGTGGTGGTGTGTGTGTGTGTGTGTGTGTGTGTGTGTAGCCCTGTGTCGTCCTGGAACTCGTGCTGTCGACCAGGCTGGCCTTGAACTCAGAGATCCTGTTTCTGCCTCCCAAGTGCTGGGATTAAAGGCGTGTGCGGAGTCGCCACCTCCCAACATCCGGCTGTGCTTTTTTATGTCTATGCTTCCCATTGAAGCTTTCTGACATAAGCTGTGGGAGGATTTTCTTTGCTGAGATTACCAGATACAAAATCAGGTGTGCTCTCCCTTTCCATTGAAAGGGGAAAGGAGAGCTGCACAGCTGGAATCCTGCACTTCCTCTCAAGGAGAATGGCGTGGCCTAAGGCAAACAGAAACGAATACAGGGAAATACAGAGTACTTCTGACAGAACCATGACCATATTGGAAAGTCCTCAGACATCTCGCTATCTCTGCTTTGGAAGCCTTTTGCGTTGAGTGCTCTCTGGCTTTATTTTTGAGCTATGTAGGAAAGTGTTTGTCTCCTGAAATAGTGCTCAGTGAATGGTGTGTAGCTCATGATGAAAGACATAAACACAGCAGTCTATGAGAAACTGCAGCTCTGTCAAGGTAGAGGAAACCTTAGCCAGAGGTCTGTTGCCTAGTGTGTCCATCCTGAGACACCGCCGTGAAAAATAAATGTTGAACATGCAGTCCTTTCTGTACAGGGTACATTTCATGCTTAAGTGAAAGGTGTGTTCGTTTTGAGACATTAAAATTTTGTTTTATTCAACTTGATGTCAGTTTTACTATATTGAGGTTAACATTAACATTTCTAGGGATGGACCTTGGCAGAGGCAGGCGGATCTCTGAAAGAAAAACCTGTCTGCAGGTTTCCAGGCCAGCCAAGGTTGCAGAGTGAGACCTTCCCTCAAAGACAAGAACACAGAAATTGCTTTGTGAAACTGTAGCGTATTTCAGTTCTACAACCGATTCATGCTCCTGGGCCACCTCTTGTGAATCACCATCGCACAACTAGCTCTTAGCTTTATGTAGGATTCATTTCTTCTCTTCTTGAACCAATGGGTAAAACAGCTGAAATAATGGGAAAGAAGGATGTTCAATATGTCATGCATCAATTTTTGTTTCTGAAATTCTCTATGACAAATTCTCTATGAAACAAAATTAGGCTTCAAAGTTCTTAGTTATCTATATTAGGAAGTGATATGCTGATAATTTGGAAAACAACCTAATTGTGTTTTGAAATATACGTAGGTTATGTGCCTTTGTTCCAAAGCATGTTAACAATTGTTTTTCACCTTTAATTCTATATTTCATACTTAATATAGTTCCAGACTTTTACCCATTTAGGAATTTTGTCTTACACGTTTCTGAATAGTTGTGTTAACGTTGCTTCTTTGTGATTTGTGTTCTAACCTCATGAAAAGCCCGTTAAAGCCGTGCTGGTGAGCATGTGGTAGCTCTCCTGCCCTCTCCTCTGTCTTCACGGGTTTAATTTGTAATACTTTCACTTATTTTTCACCTTTCGTAGGATTCCCTTTCTTCTTTTCCTTTGGCCAGCCGTGAAGTTTGCTGACTGCTGTCCCTTGTTCGCAGGGTCGAAGAGAGTGAGTGACAGTGAGGTGTCTGACTATGACTGTGACGACGGCGTCGGGGTCGTGTCCGGTAAGAGCGCGTGTGCAGTGTGGCAAGGGTGGTGCAGTTCGCCAGTGTCCATCTTTGAGATAAAGAAAGAGACGCAAACAAATTTGCCTCCCGTGCAAATAGTTAGAGTGAACATGCTTTATAGAAGCCAGCTCTGGGTAAGAGAATATTTATACATTTTCTATTTCAAACCAATTAATAATAATACTTTTATGATAAATTGTATAATTTATCATACGACTGTATAATTGAAACTTCATATGTAATGTCTCCTTAATATTATGTAACAATTTATTCTAGTCTTCTTGTTAGATTTACAATTTGTTAGAATAAATAATCTAACAAATCTCATAATTAAAGTTAATTTACTCAGGAAAAATACAGTTTTTATTCATAAAAGCTGCTATAACTACATCAGTGATTACTGACTTTTTGCTAATTTTTGTGTAGGATCAGTGTGCCATGGCCAGTAAAACCCTTCCATGTGCTCAGCTGCTGGGTTTCACCCTTGCTCTTTATTAGGGTAAACAGTGTGGTGACCTCTAAGACTGCACAGGGCTCCGCGTCTCTTTATTAGGGTTGAACAGTGTGGTAACCGCTAAGACTGCATAGGGCTCCGCGTCTCTCACACGTCAGTGATTTCTCCATGGGTCTTTCTTCAGCATCATTGCTGTCTTCTTCATGCTCGTATCCCTTTACTGTTGTAGTGGATTTTACTCCTCAGTCTTAAGTATCTGTTGACTCCAGTGTTTTTTCACCTCACCAATTCCCTTCAGGTCTGAAATCAATTCTTTCCAATGTCATTTTTACGCTCGTCTTTATTCTTTTATTTTTGCTGTCAAGATTTAAAAAAAATACTTAGTCATTTACTTGAATTTTAAATTTTGGACTAATACGTTAAAATTTAAACTACATATTAATAAGATAATGGGTGGTGTTTTAATACCTATATAATTTTTTATGTTTAAATTGATAAACTTCTGACTCCACCTTTATCACTATATGTTGAAGCATTTATTTTTCTTGTTTTCTGTATTATATTGTCCATCGTTTTATATATATATAATATATACACACATACATATATACATGTATATGTGTGTGTGTGTGTGTGTGTGTGTGTGTGTATAAAAATGCCCTGACCAAAGAAGAAGCTTATGGAAAGGGCTTTTTCTTTCTCACCAATCCAGTTTATGTACATCGTTGTTAGTAAGAACTCAGAGTAATTAGTAACTAGTCATCCATACTCAAGAGCAGAGGGAATGACTTCCTGGACGCTTACACTCCTCTCCCCTTCTCCATTCTTATGCAATTCTCTATTCAGGGATGAGTGTCTCCCATAGTGGGAGGATCTTCTCACTTCAGTTAAAGGAACCAAGAAAATTCTATGTGACATAGCCACAGGCAAGCTCGATGTAGAAGAGACATGACTGAGATTGCCTGTCCCATAGTCTGCTGTGTCAGCTTGACAGAGATAACAGTTTCACTCTTCTGTGCAATAACATCAGAGGACTTTCAGGATTCCTCCCTCTCCACAAAATGCCAAAGTTGAACCATTTTGGTTTTTCTGCACTGTGAAAGCAATTGTGTGTTGGGAGAAAAGATAGATTTATTTCTTTTTCACATTTGCTGCAGGATGATTCGTTCGAGGATGTAAAGAAACTTTTCACCACATAAAGATAGTGCTCAATGGCCAGGCAGTGGCGGTGCAGCACTCAGGAGCTAGAGTCAGGCGGGTCTCTGAGAGTTTGAGTGCAGTCTGGTATAGAGTGAATTCCAGGACAGCCAGGATTATAAGGAGAAGCCCTGTCTCAAAAAGATCAAAACCAAAGCCAACAAAACAAATAAATAAATAAGGTAGTGTTCACAGACCTAAAGAATTTCCACTTGTCTATGTCTAGCTTCCTGAAGCAAAGTGTTTTCTGGAGTTACTTGCAGGAAGATGGGTTAGTCAATGATAGTCCTACAACTATTGAGCCCTATGGGCAACTTCTGGGCAGGTACACCACTGAAGATTCTCAGCCCAGTTAGTTGGCACTCTTATGTAATCTTAGTAAGGGGAAGATGCCCCATGAAGTATCCTGAAGGCTCTGTGTATGGCTTTTCTATATATGGCTCTTCCAGGAGTTCTGTCTTCTGCATGTGCCACATCTTCCCCACACAGTGTCACTAACCAGGGACAAACACCTGAAGGAAATTCCTCATCCAAGTGCAACATTTGGCTCCTGGATCTACATCTCTTTGGTATATCATGATGTATATGCATTTAGTCTAATTTCAGAAATTCTCATAGTCTCTAACAGTCTGAACACTGTTTAAAGGCAAGAATCTAGCTCCTTTTTAGACAATGTGATGTCTTAAATGTGATATCCTGTGCTTCTAATATACACTAACAAGAACGTTACCTTTCTAAAAGGAACATACATATTATATATATATATATATATATATATATATATATATATATATATATACGTTTAAAAAGGGTGTGTGCACGTGCGCGTGTGTGTGTGATGGTTTTTTGAGATAGGGTTTCTCTAAGTTACTCATTTCCAGGGCTCTGCTAAAATGTCCTGTTAATGAGCTGTCTCTCTCACCTCTAGGTTCATTTTCTTCTGTGCTGCAGGCCAGAACTTTCATTTCTTTCGGTTGCGATGACTGTCTTTGCTTAGTCCTTTGGGAAAGATCAGTTAAATATCTTTATGTTGCCTTATTTCTTCTTTGTTTCTTTATTTCTTATTTCTGCGTTCCACTGTGTGCTTTATTCTTTAGCCATTACTGCAGTGTTCCGACTGTTACAAATTATAGTGAGTATATAATGTTCCAGCAGTCCGTCTCCAGACTGCGGTAATCAGAGCTGCTACATTCTCGACTGTTTGCTTCTCCACAGAAGCTTTCAAAGCAACTTGTCAGTACCCACAAACTGTTAGAATGTCTATTAAACTGATTTCTTTATAATAATGAGTTTCCTGTTTTGTATCTCTCCCTTTATCAGTTGATGATTTCTTCATACAGATCTACTTTATATTTTGTTAGATTGCTCTCAAGAATTTCTTTATCGGGGGATGCGCTATTATACTCGGTATTGGCTTTTCAGTTTCAAATTCCAACTTTCCTTGCTAGCTATAAGAAAGTGATTGATTATTATTTTATAGCCTTTTATTCTACAACTTCCTACAACCATCAGTTCCTAGAGATTATTGATTTGCTCCGTCAAGCCATAGTTTAGCTGTTGTGCTTAGACCACTGCTATCATTTGAATGGTTTATTGAGCATCTGTTAGAGAATTTTGTTTTCATTGCCATTGTTTTCTTATTCTTGTTTTTTTTCCTTCTGTCTTTTTGGTTTTAATTGAGAATTTATATGACTTATTAATTTTGGGGGGTTTTTGAGACAGTTTTCTCTGTGTAGTCCTGGCTGTCCTAGAACTCAAGCTTGTTAATTTCTTAACTTTAACTTTAAAAAATATGTTTCCCATGCACTTGATCTAGAATGCACACACACACACACACACACACACACACACACACACACTTCAAATCCACTTCCAAATAGCCCTTCACTGGTTATGTAACTTACAACAACAAATTCCTTGTACTTTTCTCTTTATTTACTTTTATTTACTTTTCTCTTTAAGTAAACAAATGATTATGTGTATGTTTTGTCTCCAAGCTTATGAAAGTGATTTTGCATATGGATTAACATGTGTGGAGTTTTTTCTCTACCACAGTGTAACATGTGTGTATATTTACACAGAAATATGCCCTTACTAGCTGCTGCCAATGTTGGTTGCTTAGAATTCACAGCCACTCCTGTCTGAGGCAGTTTGTGTTTAGATAAATAGAATCTGTCCGCTCCATAATTAAGTACCTTGCCTTTTTTTCTTTTATAGTCCCAAACCAGTGTTTGTCTTTAAGAAATTAAAAAGTGTATTCCCTTTACAAAACCACAGCAACTAATGCCAGAGTTTTCAGAGCGATTGGAATAAGCCCACAACCTCCTTAGTTTAGTTTCTTCCCTTTCAGAATTTCCTCTTCTATTTCCTTGGGTGCTTCTTCAGTTATTTATGTCTTAATCTTTTGAGCCATCCCATGACACCCGTCTAGTGCTGCAGAACATTACAGGAATGAAATGGCTTTTCTGAGTTATGTCTGTTTCTAATCATCTAAGATGGATGTGGATCAGGGATGAACTTAGGGCCTTCTGCATGCAAATCCCATGTGCTGCTTTTTAGTTACCCTCAGAACTCCTGAATAATTTAGGGAATGCATAGTGCAGCCATGTGTTTTAGGGGATAAACACTGTAGCAATGTGTTTTAGGGGATAGACACTGTAGCAATGTGTTTTAGGGGATAAACACTGTAGCAATGTGTTTTAGGGGATAGACACTGTAACATTGTGTTTTAGGGAATAAACACTGTAGCAATGTGTTTTAGGGGATAAACACTGTAGCAATGTGTTTTAGGGGATAAACACTGTAGCAATGTGTTTTAGGAGGCACCCATCAGATATCTTAGTGGAGACATGACCAATTACTGATAGCTGCAGTGATCGTGGTAAAGATAGCCACAGTGGCAGCAATGTCGCACTCCCTGTTCAACCTTATTCATGCTTCTCCATTGCATACGTATTTTACACATGTGCAGCTTTAGACAAACAGCATTGGCCTCTTTCCTTTTCCTTGGCCTCTCCATATAGAACTATTGATTTTCGGGCATGCAGGATCTCTTCCCTCTTTCCCTTTCCAAGTTTCTGTGCCTCCTCATGTTAACTTCTGTGAGGATGGTAAGTTGCTAGGGCAGTCCTCTTCTTTGATAGTGAATGTTGTTTTCGGACTCCTGTGATTTCTTAGCTCTGCCGCGTATTTCAAGAAGCACAGCATTGAGTGTTAGGTAGTGCGGTTGACCTTATTTAACATGTAAGTACAGATGATGAAGCATCGTATGAACTGTGAATATTAACAATATCCAAGAAATATTTAAGTTTATAGGGTGAAATATTTTAGGACAATCTTGAACACAGTAACTCTCAGATAGTGACTACCACGGTAACTATCAGATAGTGACTACCACGGTAACTATCAGATAGTAACTACCATGGTAACTATCAGATAGTGACTACCATGGTAACTATCAGATAGTGACTACCATGGTAACTATCAGATAGTGACTACCACGGTAACTATCAGATAGTGACTACCACGGTAACTCTCAAATAGTGACTACCACGGTAACTACCAAATGTCCTTCCCTTTTCATTTTTGTGCTGACAAGGTTTCAAACATTACTGTGTTTGTTATACTTTGCAATTATCACATTAAAAGTATGTCAGGCTCACTAGTATTTTATGTTTCTTAGTGCAACACAAAGAACTTGGGGTGCAGATAATTATTACTTTATTTTCTGTCCCTAGATTATCGTCACGATACTCGAGACCTTCAAAGCTCCACGTTATCAGTGCCAGAACAAGTGATGTCATCAAACCATTGCTCTCCATCAGGGTCTCCTCATCGAGTAGATGCTATAGGAAGGACTAGGTCATGGTCACCGAGTGTCCCTCCTCCACAAAGGTAAGATAGTATGTAAATTTTGCATATAGCTAGGTAGTTAGGGTGAATTTTGCCTAAATTACCATAATAACCTCTAAAAATAAATTATCCTTTGGATTATCCTTTTAAAGAAGAACAAGACGCCATTGCAATGGAACTCGGAAGTGACATGGGATAGTTTGTTACCTGGCAAGATTTGTGTGTTATTTGCCCTAAGAGTTCAAACTGGTTAAGAAAAAGTAGCTTTAAATTGCATACAAATATTAAGCATTATATCAGTGATTATGATTAGAGAGAATTGGGTGTTGCCCATCAGTAAGGTATGATATTCTTTATCTTTTCCTGAAGGATACTCTCTTATTGGGCTCTTAATGTATCTGCAAGATCAGCCAGATCCTCAATTAACTGTTAATCTTCAAATGAAATATTTTTCATCAGAGATACAAAAAAACCAAAAAATAGATTTTATTATTATTTTGTGGGGGAGATGCTATAGCTCAGTCAGGTATTTAATTATCTTACTGTCTTAGTAGGAACGTGGAACAGGGGCTGCGAGGGACACGGGCTCCTGGTCATTACAATACGATTAGCCGGATGGACAGGCACCGGGTCGTGGATGACCATTATTCTCCAGACAGAGACAGGTAAGCACCATTAGCTCTCGCTGAACCTGCTGCCTTCAGGAAAGGTTATTGTAAATATCTTATCTGTCCTTTGTCTCATGTGAGATTCCAAATGCTGCCTTTTCTTTACATTTCTACAGTTTCTCTTAAGATAGCCCTTTGTTTACAAGGAAAGGTTAACATGTGTTCTTGATAAGGAAAGCAAAACAGGTTGAACCTGACTATCATGGGTCACCTGAGCACCGTGACTCTCGACTCTCTTGAGTACCATGGGTCGCCCGACCGCTGTGGCTCCCTGAGCGCTGACTGGCTCTCCTGAGTACCAGGGCGCAGGTTTAGAATCCCGGCGCTCGGGATGGAGATCAGGAAGGTCACAACTAAGAGGCCGGCCAGTGCTGCCTGACTCGACTCTGTCAAGACAAGATTATATAAAAATAGGTAGCAAATTTGCGTGAGACATTGTAATGATAATTAGAATGTAAAAATTTCTTTTACCTGCACATAGCAAATTATCCTGTGTAATATATATCAATAGGCCGATAGAGATTAAAGTCTTCAGCAGATTCAGAGCAATAGTGTGGCTTTTTCCTATACAGAAATCTTGAGACGGAGTCTACTTTCTTTAGGAAACCTTTATTATAATTCTCCAAGAAATTCTCTCCCATGGCCTTCAGTGTTGTTTTAGCATCTGACAGAGCTACACGTGCTGTGTTGGCAAGAAGTCTCTGATTTTGCCCCATTAAATGTGACTAGCTTAGGAATAACATGGTATGTTAAAATGCTTACATTAATTACTACTAAATTTTAAAAAATTAATTAACTTTCTAATTCAATTGTGTTATATATAAGAAATACCATTGGATTTTTTTCCAACTCTCAAATACGTTTAGGATAAGGTGATGATAAAGTCCACTCTAGTACTGAGGAAATATGATGACATAGAACCTTCCTTGTCGCTGAAGTTCATGGACAGGACCAGTAACTGTCAGGATGTATAAAAAAAATCGTTTGGTTTGAATCAAGATTAATGCTCAATTCGTGCACATAAGAAAAAAGAAAACGTACAGTTGCCTTCTACATTGATAGTGCCAAGCATATGCTGATTTTTGTGTGTGGGATTAAAGAAGAAACTGAGCAGTTACTAAATTAATAGTTCTATTAGTGTCAGTTTGAAAACTATTTAACTTTTTGCTTTTTAAATTTTTTAAACTTTTTGTGTAACCAGTACCCTAGGGGCGGTCATCAGTGTACTGTCTATCTGGAGACACGCTTACCAGTACATAGTGAAGGTGAGGTCACCACGGTGGCTTGCTCAGACTTGGAACGTGTCATAAAAAGGATCAATATATATTTTGGTTGCCTAATAGAATGTTAGTGAACTTTATTAGCATTCAAATTATTTATATAGCTGTCACAAGCTTCTTAGCCATTGAAATTCTGTTTATTGAGGGAATAAAATTGTCTAAATGACTTTAAATTTCTTATAAGCTTACATAAAGTGATCATTTAATGAAAAAATATTCTCAATATGAAGCTCAAAAATATAGACTAATCCTTATAGAGAGTAATAGAATAAAATTGCAAAATAACTGTTTACTGTTATATTAAATTACTAATATTTTTCAGTATTTTACAGTACATATTTCTAGGTTTAATGACCACAAACATGGGACCATTTGCCTTTAATATATTTTAAAACCCAGATAATTCCTATTTTATGTGGTCATTATGCTTTTCTTCTTTATGATTCTTATGAATCTTTTAGTGTAACAATAATATTCAAATGTTTATCTGTGGAAGTTTTAAAGAAGGTAGATAAGTAGATCCATGTGATTTTTTTCCCTCACTTTCATAAGGGAGGATGTAGATGTGCAGAGAATAGTTATTCTTTGCTGGGATCTACCTCAAGTCTTTTTAAAACTATGTAAAGTAAAATTTCATTTCAATAGACACAAACAGTAGAAAGCATTTCTAGTATTACTTTATCTGTGTAATTCATTAATACAAGAAGCAACATTCACTGAACAATGTTCTCTCTTAATGTCTATTCTGGTCTAATATCCTTAAGGATTTCCAGTAATGAGCTGCATCTGAATGTCTATTATGTTTATGAATATCATTTTATAGACTTTTGAATCCACTCAATTTAATTGGGTTTGATATATGTCTGGGTGACTTATAAAGCCACTTTTGTGTGGTTCTGGGGAATTTCCAGGAGGTTAGCTAAGAGAGGAAGACCTGCCTTGGTGGTTTCCCGGTAGGCTGTGAACCTAGCTAGCGGAAGGATTATGAGGGAACCCTGGTAGGGTAGGTCTCCTTTCTCTGTCTCCTGGCTACCTTAGAGGAACTGTTCTTGTTCACATCACCATCTCTGTCATGGTGGATTAACATCTGGAATTGGTTCAAAATAAATTTTTCATCTTTGAAATAAGTTTTATCAAGTGTTTTGTCATAGTGACCAAACTTTGACCTACACGAGACTCAGAGTGTATTAAAAGGCCAATGACTTGTGTCAGTCATTAGAGTATTAGGGATGTTAAAGGCTGTGCACATCAGCCTCCTTATAAATTCTAATGTGTTGAATTAGAAACTCTTCATGGGGTATGGAGCCAAGTGTTCTTTAGAATTTTAAGTATGTTTGGAGAAAATCATGCATTTTATTTCTGAATCTATAAAATTTATTATATAGAATTATATAAATTAACTGGCACTACCTCCAATGAGACTTTTAAATTCCTTATCAGAAAACCAGTGACCACAAAGTATAACACATAGCCATATTTTATCAAAAGTTTGTATTGTTAGTTGAACAATGTAGACAGAGATTTCCTAGTAGTCCAGACCCAAATAATCACACAGAAACTATATTAATTCAACACTGCCTGAACAATAGTTTAGGAATATTTCTACCTAGCTCTGACATCTTGAATTAACCCATTTCTATTAATCTGTGTATCACAATGAGGCTGTGGCCTACTGATAAGTTTCCTACATTTTTCTCCTTGGGCAGCTATGTGGCATCTCCCTGACTCCCTCTTCTCTTTCTCTCTCTCTCTCTCTCTCTCTCTCTCTCTCTCTCTCTCTCTCTCT